GCAATTTGGGGTGTTTTAAGGTGCAGCAGACTCATTCGTCTAGAGAAAATCCTAGTCTAGATAAACCTTGTCCCGGAGGTGTTATGAACCGGGTACCTAATTCACTCCATGAAGATTAAACCTTCTTGAAAAGCCGGAAGTTGCTTAGCAACTTAAAATTACCCAAAATTTAATGGAACCCAAATGTTCATTACTGTGTTCACAACAGCCCTCCATTGGTCCCTAACCTAAGCCAGATCCACTCCATTCTATCTCTCTAATATCCCTTTTGCTATTATCCTTCCACCAAAGTTCATATCTCCCTAGTGATCTATTTCTTTCTGGCTTTTCCACCAAAATTCTATACGCATTCCTCTTCTCCCCGTTTCTACTATATGTCATGTCCATCTCATCCTCCTTCACTTGATAACTTTAATTATACTTTGCAAAGAATACAAGTTATGAAGCTCCTCATTGTGTAGCTTTCTCCAGTTCTTGAGCTAGTGAGTTACTCAGAGAAATGTAGTTCAGTCGTTGTGAGCTGTTACTGTTAGCAGCTGGAGCTGAGGCAAGGGGATAGTTTGGGAACCTGGCCTAAGGGAACGTCTACCATTGGAAGCCGTTAGCAGACAACGACTGTTGAAGATACAGCAGACGGAAAAGACTTAGTGTGTACCGTATCGAATTGTAGATTGTGTGAATTAGTTATAGCGTTATAGGTGCTTACATTTTGGATTTGTAAGTTGTCAACAGATCCAATCATCAATCAAACCCCGTCTATAGTCACTTTAAATCGTGATAACATAATATTGTTCATCTAAAAACGGTGGTTGTTCTTGTGGTCTTAATGCACTATCTTCAAAGGATACTTTCCTTCATTACATAATAGCATGCAACATAACATTTTGTACCACTCTACACTTCACTCCTAAACCAAGGAGAAGCTCGAGCCCCATTCTTCAATACCGCGAGAAGTTACGTCAAGAAATGCATGGAACAAGACAGGAAATAGACGGCATCGGCATGGATTCCTCTCATGAACTTCTTGGTAATGTACTGTGACGTTTATTTTGGTAACGCGGCAGTTGATAATCGGTTCCGAACTTGATAAGTTGATTTACTCGAATCGTAACTACAATTCGTTATTACACTAACACATCAACTATTGGACTGCCTTGAACGAGTGAACAGTGTTCACTGCTCCCTATATAGGCTTGTCACGGATCACTCACAAAAAACACATCGTTGCTTAGCAACGGATATGATGTATTTTTGTCAGGCGTATCCACCCATGCACTGCATAGCAATGGACGCCCTGTTGTTGCTGGATGCTCGTTCGTTGGAACATGTTTACGTATTCGTCTCCTAGAAACGACCCAGTCCGTCACAATATTTATAAAATAGATAGGGCCCTCATATAAGAAGGAACCTGAAGTTCTTTACTCTTCAAGGCACAGTGGTTACTAAAGCAATATTTGTTTCAATATCAGGCCTCCCCAAATTGTACACAGAGTTTTCATTTGTACAATTTATATGATTTTGTAACCGTAGTTCCCTCACTTAAAATTGTTTAACAGCGGATATGAAAATCCCACTTATTAATCCTATGTAAATGAGTTATGTGCCTGCAGCGAGATGCCATCCCATGACCATATAATTGTTATCCCTCATAATCCTCTTTAGGCCTGGGCGACAGGATCATATGTTGCACTTGAGCCTGGTATCCTCTCCATGGCGCCACCATGGCGAAATCACATTTCGAAGACATATCTGTTTACCATGTTGCATAAACATGTATGGTGCTACAGATGGGTCTTACAATTGGAGCAGAACTGTATCTGCTTTAATGTGTTTGCCTTGGAATTTAGTTTGCGATATATTTGCGTCATATTTGCGTCACGATTTATAGTACTCTCCTGAGTACGGTATTATATTGTGTAATGATTTTTGTCGACGGTCACGGTAGCCGAGCGGTCTAAAGCATGTACTGTCTTCGCTCGCTTGGAAACCGGGATCGTGAGTTCGAATTCCATTCAGGGCATGGATGTTTAATTTGTGTGTGTGTGTGTGTGTGTGTGTGTGTGCGCGTGTGTGTGTGTGTGTGTGCGCGCGCGTGCGTTTTTCTGTGTTTGTGTACAGGTAGAGGCCTTGCGACGAGCTGATCACCCGCCCAAGGAGTCCTAGCGAATATGTAAGATCTAGAAAAACCAAAGTGAACGGAGAAGTTCATTGAGGTAGGCCTAGGCCTACTGGGGCTGTAGTGCCAAGAAATAAAAAAGATTTTTGTCTGTAATAAGAGTGAATGACCTGTAACTAATTTAGGTGAAGAAGGACCAGACATAGTAATACTGGACTAATGTGAAGGTAAGGCCGCGCCATAGCTCAAGCGGTTAGTCGCTGGCTTCCCACCGCGGTGGCCCGGGTTCGATCCCGGGTCTGGTTAAGTGGGTTTTGTGGTGGACAAAGTGGCGCTGGGGCAGGTTTTCTCCGAGTACTTCGGTTTCACCTGCCAATCTTCATTCCACCAATTGCTCCACAATCACCCTCACCTATCATCTGGGGCTGGTACAATAGGCCAGAAGTGGACGCAGTACAAGGGACTTAGTGCCACCCCACTAGCAATAAAAAAAATGTGAAAGTAGAAATTATATTGTATGCGTGCCAGTGTTCTGATCTGTTGAGTGAGTGTAACGCATCATACTGTTTGACAAGAGGAGTAGCACCATCTGCAGACTTGAAATGTTATCTTCCGTCGTGCTAGGGAGGTATTTTGTGATATCAGTCCTTGCTTTTATTCTGAGTCTCCCAGATGAAATGTTATCCTAATTGAGCTTGATCCCTTACTTAATGAGCGTCTTGTAACGATAAAAGCTGAAATGAATGTTTGAACATAACATCTCTTTCCGACAAGCTAAATGCTGGACTGGCGCTCGTTATTACAATTCGGCTGTAATCCTTTCCAAGTGATGGCCATTTAGGGGTTGTAACCGGATACTACATGAATGTTAGAAAAGAGGTATGAAAGTCGGAAAAGAATATAGCCAATTACTCCTTTTTAATAATATACTTTACCAAATTTATGTATACAATTAATTTTGTGATAACAATTGTATTTTTATAAGGTTTACTCAATTGTGAATTTGTAAAATTATGTATATTATTACTCATTATATTATGCTATGAACTATGAACTACTCGTATATACCGAGTAGGAGATGACGCAATGTGACGTAACTTGGTTTTTATAATTCCGGAGTTCCCCTGTTGCTCGGGGATGTACGATTTAAGCTTCATAAGCAGTTAGCTAGGACTTCCCATTGGTACAGCCAATCAGAATTGCTAGTTACCGTGTGTGACATCATACTAGCATAGCTTGATATCCTACACAGATTTTGTTTCAAACAGACGCGTTCAAGTTTCGAAACACGCAAGGCGTATGTTTAGCGTCTCGCCCATATCAAAGGGCTATAAGGAAAAAGTAAAAGTAAAGCTGTCCCTGTAACAGGCCGTGAAGGCCCCTAGGGTTGTGAGACGTTAAGGGTCCCACATTACCTTGACAATCGGCTCAAAGATGGCGGTAAGGTTGTCAGCCTTACGCACCGGCCGCGCTTCGCGCCCCAGGAAAATTATTTAATTAATTCCTGGTACTCATTTCTGTTAGAGGCTGAGTAAACCCCAGGGCCATAATGCGGCTGGAAGGATTAGGTCAATTGAAAAAAATATCCAATGACCTCATCGGGACTTGAACCCGCGACCTTCCAGCTTGTAGCATAGTACCTTAACCACTACCGAGCAGAAACCATAAATATAATTGACCATGTAATTTGTGCATTATAATAAAGAGTCAAGTGTTTGTGCGAACGTTGTCTTTGGTTTGTGGACTCTGATGTTGGAGCCAAGGCCCACTTAACGACCCTGAGAGAGATCTTATGTTCACCGATGTGAGTTGGCGCCCAATACTTCGGAGTCATTGTTAGGTGACTCATTGAGAGCAGCTGCGTCCACCTTAACCCAACCCCATAGTGGAGTGAGTGGAGTGAAATGAGTGTAAGGTGAGTGAGGGGGGGGGGAAGGACAGCTATAAGAAGAAGAGGCAGTCGGTTATAGGGAGTCGAGATGTAAAGATAGAGAGAATGATAGAAGAGGACCTAGGGAGTTACAGTAGAGTGATGTTTTACAGAGAGTACTAAGTGAACAGGAGAGTCGAGATACTCGTATAAAGTTATGGAGTCAGCGAGAGAAGTGAACAAGGAGATGGAGGACAATATTAACGGCGGAAGGCGTAATCAGTGTGATGATGCTTAGAGGAGGATTAGAATAATAGGCCAACTATGACTGTACTTCTCGTCTAACTGAATGGGAAAAACACACGGAATGATGTTCTGTTGATACGGTGTTTGATCACTCCTGAAATGTGTTCCCATCCCAGTCAATGACGCACCCGTTTCCCTGGGATAGAACCTCATCTCTCATCATAGTCCGCGGCAATATTAAGGACAGAGGTGTTATGTTCTGGTAAAAATAAATGAGTGGGCGAGTAAAATCTTAGGAATAAACACAGAGTGTTTCCCAGTCTCGTAGTATAACTAAAATGTGTAGAGAAATAGGATATATAAGGAAAAAATTAAATCGAAACTCTACAAATTACAGAAGAACTAATTATTTAACAGCTAATAGCAACTTAATGTCAAATTTATTTGCTTATGGACTTCACGAAAAATTCTGGTAAGCCTGACTAGATCAAGAGGAAACTGTGTGACAGTAACAGTAATATAGAGAAGAGAGAACATAAGACTTTTGACAGTACTGTAAAACTGATCTGCAGGGGTTCAGAAAACAGAATCAGACTGAAAACTTAACGTAAAATATCCCGCACGTGTTGTATAGTCATAACAATAAATTACTTACATCATCAGTTCTTTCCATAAATAAGTTGACACGAAGATAAATATGTCTGTTGTTAGCGATAATAGGTTCAGCTAATTCGTAAAAGTGTTAGAAAAATAACGTGATATATATATATTCCCACACGTAACACAGTTCCATTTAAATAAAGCTGTTTGGATATACTTCACCGAGTAAGGCTCTGCCTTCGAAGGTTTTCAGATCATTAAAACTGTGTCAGGTGAGAATATAGCACTTAGGACAATTGCACAATCGGGTATGTTTTTGAACAAAAATTTTTGTCTAAAGATTTTGTTAAGAACATGAGTAATACAGTTCAGAACACCCAAATCAGAAAGGACCAATAAGTTCAATCTTGGAAGAACTTCCGAAAATATTACGTCCGTATATTTAATATGTACTTTCTCTTTATTAAGACCGCCACAACACAACATTATCAAGGCCAGTGCCTAGTTTTGCTCTGCTACATGTTTCGGCTATTAATAGTCATCACCAGGTAAATACATGGTTAATATATATACACCACTGAACTGCAGTACTAGTAAAAATGGATACAATACTATTAATTATATAAAATACTTGACGTAAAAATACAATAAATTAGATTATATAAAACAAAAGTTATAGTATAAAACAAGAATAAAATTCTTAGATTGATGCTTTACATCATCGAGTCAGTCTTTGGTTTTTGTAATTTTGTTGCGTTCCCGCGGACAAATTGGAATATTCTATATTTTGTTCATATATAATAAACTGTTTTTGAGGCTCGTGATGTAGATGTAGTAATATTAATGTTACTTATTCAGTCGGTGCCTCATCTTACAAAGTATTGTCCGTTCTATAGGGAAAGTAAACAACGACTCTCTGTCGTAATATTATTAAGAACCCTTTTCCTTGGAGGCAGTGTTGCATTAAACGCTGTCAAGTGTATTACATTTCGATCATACCGGTTTAACAGCAGTCTGCAGATATAGTGAGTTCGTATTTTCTGTGCAGATGCTTTCCTGAAACATTGCATATTTCAAGACAAGTTTTCTATAAGGAATAAGTTAAGCAGATAGAAATACTAACAGCTGAGCCGTTAGTACCTGATCCTAGTCCTTTTGAGGTTGAAATAACTGCTGTTGCAAAATTGAAAAGGTATAATTCTCCAGGTTGCGATCAAATGCTGGCAGAACTGATTCAAGCAGAATGCGAAATAATACGGTCTGAAATTCGTGAATTAATTCCGTTTAGAATACGGAAAGATGGCTTGGCCAGTGGAAGGAGTCCATATTGTACCACTTTACAAGAAGGTTGATAAAACTGACTGTTGTAATTATCGTGGGATATTACTGCTATCAGTTTCATACAAAATTATATTAAATATCCTTCTCTCAGTGTTAAGTCCATATATAGATGTAATTATTGGGGTTCATGAGTTTGTTTTTCGACGTAACAGATCAGCTACTGGTTACTTAGGAAAGAAGGAAGTGTTGTACAGTATTCTGAGTGAGTTTGGAATACCTATGAAATTACTTAGGCTGATGAAATCTGTTTAAATGAAACGTACAGTAAATGTTTTTCTGATAAATTTCCTATCCGGAATGGTCTAAAACAAGGAGATGCTTTATAGCCACTGCTGTTCAACTTTGCTTTAAAATGTTCCATTAAGAAGGTCCAAGGAAAGCAGGTGGGACTTAAATTAAATTGAAAATATCAGCTGCTGGTCTATGCCGATGATGTGAATCTGCTGGGAGATAATATACGTAGATACCACAAAGAGAATCACACAAACTTTAATTGACTCTAGTAAGGAGGTTGGTTCAGAATTAAACACAGAGAAAAATTGGTACAATTCATGCTACTGCATAGTCACTAGAATGCAGGGCACAATCATGACAAAAACACAGCTAACAGATCCTTTCATAATGTGCCCATTTCAGATACTTGTGAAAGACAGTAAAAAAACAAAATTTGATTCAGGAGGAAATGAAAAGGAGACTGAATTCGGGTAATGTTTGCTACCTTTCTTTCCAGAAGTTTTGTCTACTCGTCTGCTGTCTAAAAACTTGAAAATTAGAATACACAAAATTATAATTTTGCCCTTGGTTCTGTATGAATGTGAAACTTCGTCTCTGATGTTAAGGGAGGAACATAGAAGGAGGGTGTTCAAGATCAGGGTGCTGAAGAGAATATTTAGACCGAAGAGAGATGAAGTGATAGGTTGGAGAATACCGCATAATGAGGGGCTTCATAACTTGTACTCTTCTCCAAGTATAATTAGAACGATTAAATCAAGGAGGATGAGATGAGCGGGGCATGTAGCACGAATTGGGACAAAGAGGAATGCATATAGGATATTGGTGGGAAAGCCAGAAGGAAAGAGACCCCTAGGAAGACACAGACGTAGGTGGGTGAATAATATTAACATTAAAATATAAGAGAGAAAGAATGTTGTGGTATGGACTGGATTGATCTGGCTCAAGATAGGAACCAGTGGAGAGCTCTTTTAAACATGGTAACGAACTTTCGGGTTCTATGAAATATTGGGAAGCTCTGAAGTGGCTCCACAACTGGCGGCTTCTCAAGAAGGGCTCAGTTCCATGAACTTAGTTTAGGACCCATTCAGTCTCCTTGGTTTAATTATCCCAGAACTATAATCCTTTCAGTTTAAGGACTTTCTTCCGATAATTGAGATTCTAAGATGCAGTCTAAGGCATGAACTCTCTTCGCTCGCTCGGAAGCCGGGATCGTGAGCATGGATGTTTGGCGTATGTATGCTTTTATTGTGTGTTTGTGTTTTCCTGCATTTAGGTAGAAGCCTTGCGACGAGCTGATCACCAGTCCAGGGAGTCCTACCGTCTGTAAAAACTGAGCGAGAGAAAGGAAAAAAAGTCATAATTCTCTGTCGTGTACGAGAGATGAAGCCCCAGTATTAAGACCTTGGATTTGATAGCGTGTTGCTTCGTCAGGGGTATCACATACTTCAGGGGGGTGCTGATAAATGAGTATTGATAAATGGTGGATTTGTGGAATGATAATTGTCAGGGGAGAACTGACCTTCCCGTCCATTTGATATGAGGTCACCGCAAAGAACCAAAAGCCACACGGTGTCAATCCAGAGGCTAAAATCGTTAACTGTGTCACAACATGAGATTTTAATCGTGTAAATTTACAAGGCCCCGAAAATACAATCCTTAAAGTCGAAGTATATACATAAGCCCTATTTTTGTGGTCTAGTGGTCAGCGTTTCTGGCTACAGATCCAGAGGTCCGGGTTCGATTTCCGGCACTACTTGATTTTTTTTCTGAGAAATAGCGGGTCTGGAATAGGGTCCACTCAGCCTCGTGATGATAATTGAGGAGCTATTTCAAGGAAATAACGGCTCCGGTCTAGAAAACAGAGATTAACTGCCGTGGGGATTCGTTGCGCTGACTACGGGACACCCTCTATCCGCTAAAGTTGGCACTAACTTCGCCGACAAGCGGCGGTCGCTCGGTCGGTATAGTTCGCTTGTGGACTAAAATGACGGAGTTTTTTTTAATTAAGCATTTTGTCTTTCCTTGTATAACAAACACAGAAATAGAAGCCGGATGATTAGAAACTTGTTCAGTGAGAATGTGTAATCACGAGCCAAGGACTCTTACTAACGGAACTGTTATTCCCATAGGTTTATCTATTTAGTGACGCTATTCGTAACCTTGAGTTCTCTACTCAGAACGTTGCATGAAAGAATGATTAATGATGAGATTTTTCGAAAGGATCTATAAGGAAATAAGCACGGCCTGATTTGAAGTACTATCACGGAATTTAGCATTTAATGCTGTCAAATACCTCTCGGTCCATCTTACCTTCAGTAAGAATCCGAGAACTTCTAAAGCGGATTCAGTTCGCTTTATTCCCTTTCCAGTATACGAAAGAATATTATTTAAGGTCATGAGCATAACTCGTTCTGGGGGAAACCGTAATTACGTGCCTGTTATCAGCAGTGCCAAGGACTAGAGTCCAACTTGAAAAGGAAGCTAAGAAATTCATCGCGTTTTATCGAAGAGGAAGTTCTGTTTCCGGTACGCAGGAGCCCGCTTCTGCCACACATCCAGAGCTGCATGAATCTAGCCCACATCCTGCAATCCCTGCTCCCTGAGTTCAGTTGTTATCAGTCTCCCATCTCTGCCTGGAAATGTACAGATCCATGGAAAAACGATAATACATTACAACGACATCTGTAAGAATTACACTAAACAACATAATTGTGAAATCCCTGCCTGGCAATCTATGTTATTGTAAAGCATTTCTCTGTAGTGTTGGTTACACCTCCTGATGATGACCAGTGGTAGCCGAAACATGTGAAGACAAATTTTTTACTGTCATGTTAAATTTGTCGCACACGATGGACCTCGCTACTCATTCACGTCAAATATATTTTTACTGATATCACATTTAAGCATCCTGTTGCATTTACATATCTTTAAAAATACACAATGCATTGAGGACTGAATATATTGTGTATTTTTAAATATAAATATATTTATTAAACCCATTCTCACAGCGCATTTAAATTTGCAACAAACGTCGTCTGCTTATACGAACATATTCCAGAAATATGTTATCCTGTATTTCGTCTACTTTGCCGACTAAACCAGAATTGTGTTCTTACAGCAATGGCCGGCCCATTGGCCTTTGTGGCCACGGCGGGTCTGTTGGTCCTTTGTCTGCGCAACACAGTTTCAGCAGAAAAACTTGTCTGGCAGGACGAGTTCGACACTTTCGATCTCAACAAATGGAACCATCTTGTCACAGCGTGGGGGGGAGGCAACCAGGAGTTTCAATATTACCGGAACAGCAGGAAGAACAGGCAAGTTGCTATATCGCATTTCTCCATACATGGTAATTTTAGTTATAGCCTTAAACATTATGTGATGCAGCTGGTATGGTTATGAAACTGATGTCTCTGGGAAGAACACAGATTGAAGGTGTTTCAGAATAAAGTGACCAGATGTTTTGTGTGTGTGTGGGGGGGGGGGCGTTACGAGGAAGATGAAACAGGACAACCAAGAACATTGCATAATGAGCTTTGCGATTCGTAATCTTCACCAGTCCATAATATTGCACCACATTTATTTAAGATTAAGTATATTATTACTGGTATATGCATATCTGTGCCTAGGTTTTCTACATGAACCTTTCTATTCCGATTTAACGACTAGATTTCTGTATGACCCGCTCTTCTATCTCACGTGTGCTATATATATCGCCCACCTAATACAGTTGACTTTATTTAGCCTAAAAATATGTGACCAAAGCTGCTCATTATGAAATTTTCTCCCATCTGTCTTTCCATCATCTCTCCCATTTCCAAATATTTTCCTCAGCACCCTCTTCTCAGACACTTTGAATCAAACTCTTCTCATATGGTGAGAGGTTAGGGTTCTTGCTCGTACATACATACAGGTAACATTATAATTTCTTGTAAGATTTGAGGCTTTCACGGCGGTGACTATGAAGAAAGCAGTCTTCTGGGCTTTGGCGCCGTGTATATGTGGTGTTAACCGACGTTTCGGAGGAACGTATCACCCCCATCTTCAGGGTTGAAGAAAAAGTATAGGTAAATCTTCAAGCGACAACACCGTGAGACACGGTAACGCAGTCTGCGTTAGGGTCTCCCGCCGCCACTCGATCATTTTTACCATGAGCTTAATGTCCACACAAAAATCTCAGTACCAGAAAGTCCCATTAGAATTGTTCCTTTTTTCATTTACAGAATTTTAAAATTATTCAATGGATAATTCAGTTTTTAAGTTCCGTTGGCATAAAGTGCCTGGGAAAAAGACAGCCAAAGGTGGTCAAGTTAGTTCGTTTCGTATCTGAGACTTCACTTTCAATGTACAGAATATTAATCATCATGTTTAAAAAAAAATAAACGAAGATAATTTTACACCTTGTGCTTTTAAGCCTTTCCTATAATTTAGCTTTTGTTAGCAAGAACATTGTATACTGGTATCAAAGTTGTTTTCCTTCTTAAAGAAAATTATAGAGAAAATAAAGAGAGAGGTATGAGGATCATATTTCTCCCAGGGCCCACCTTCGCCTTAATGAGGTCCTCCGCGTAAGAAGCACTTCCACTCTGTATTTTGATACTGTCCTTAATGTTTCCTTACAATACTCGTGTGAGCTGTACAGAATGTCAGAGAATGAGTGCACACAATTTAAACATTTTTATTCAGAAACTAAACAGACTCGGAAGAACATGGGTTTCACTACATGACAGCGGAACTGTCAGAGTTTTACGCAGGACACTCGTTGTCCATTCTGTGCAACGTATCACCCACAATTATGTGGAAAATCTTCCAAGGCATTTGTATGTCAGATGGACATTATGCGAACAGCGAAGAGATTTCAAGTCAAAGTTCAGTGAGATGAATAAAGGTGGACCAAAAATCCTTCAGAGTGTCTGTTTCATGTGGTGAAAACTATACTCTCCTAGTTCTGTTTATTTTCTCAATAAAAGTGTTTAAAATGTGTGCACACTTTCTCGGACTTCTGCAGTTTTATGCGTATTTTTCGATTAAGTTGCGAAAATATTCGGATTGCTTTTTATTTCAGCTACGTGAAGGACGGGGTTCTATACATCAGACCAACTTGGACTTCCGCAGAATACGGAGATGACTTCCTGTACAGTGGCAGCCTCTCATACTCGGACTGCAACATGCAACCCTGCACTTCGTAAGTGACGAGCCTGCTGTTTAAGATCCCATTTCTTCCAGATTTAACCACATGAATCCGACCCTATGAGACTAGAAATAAAAAACTGCATCCCGTAAACCAAATCTTTATAAACTAATCTCATTTTGTTGTGCCATTTAATTTTCCTGCGTCAGAACTGCTTTAGATCAGTTAATATTAAAGTCTTTTGCACCAAGTTTCGGGTTTGATTCTCATTCAGCAAATGTGCATTTCGCATTTCAAAAGACACCTACATTTTGGAAGAACAGATCGCATATGTTTCTTCAGTACTAGTCTGAATCTCCCCAGCAATATTGTTGATGAACTTAAGAACTCTGTCTTCTGGGATGTAACGCCGTGTATTTCTTTGAAAATCAACAGGCGTGTCTGAGGAACACCTCGCCTCCATCTCCAGGGTCGAATAATAAGCCAAACAAAACAAAACAAAACAAAAAGCATGAAGCAGGCAGCAAGCAGAACAACGGACTACACGGCCTTATATTCCAGAAGCAGAGCTCTTCATAACCACCGCTGTGGTAACCTCAGGTCATATTTAATTCGAGCCTTTAAGCGTGTTGTACATTTTGCACACTCTGTATTTCTGAGAATATATGACCATATATATTCATCTTCTTCTTCGGCATGGATTAGTCATTGTTTGGTCTGTTTCGTCCTCTTGAAATTCATGCTGGTCCCTCTGGCTTAACTGCGGGGGTCCTATGTTTCGCATTCGTTTTGGGTTGTATTTTGAAATTTTCTTCGGAATTCGTGCTACTTCCATTAGTAGAACGGGTTACTTCCTCTACGAGTATAATCATATAAAAGTAGTTATTCTTTATTAGCAAGCTCTCACCTGAAACTTAGTGGAATTAATACTGAATTCTACTTTTCAGATCAGCCGGCAACGACATTGTAGAGCCGCTTCAGTCCGCCAGGATAACAAGCAACTTCTCCTTCAAATACGGAAGGGTAGAAGTCAGGGCTAAATTACCGAAAGGCGATTGGATCTGGCCTGGTGAGACGATTGTTGTTATTGCTGATCCCACGGAGTAGGTTAGGTCAAGAAGGAATGAGGGAACACAGAGCAACTTTCTCACTGGGACATTACATTAAAATAGCAATATACTGTGATATGACTGCTGAAAGCCGGGATAGAGGAACGTATAGATGTGGGCATTCATATGTAACTGCGCTGTAAACACGTTTCTGTTGCAACAGACACTGATAAAACAACAGAGGACGCGTTGTTTTCTATGTGATCCGTGCCGAGATTATATATAACGAGGACCAACTAGACAGGACTAATTTTGACAATTTATATAACAGGCCAGAGTGCCATGTTGTGTCGAAGGCTTTCTCAATATCCAAGAACACAGCGGCCGTCGACATATTGTTGTTGCAATTTAGGGTGACGTGATCCGCGAGCATCGCATTGAAGTATCGTACTGTGATCTACTCCAGTGGTTCTCAACCTTTGTGAGACCGCGGCCCGGTAAATTCTTTCTTTATTAGACGAGGGCCCGGTGTAATTGATGCCAGGGGCCGGTACGGGGCTGCGGCCCGGCGGTTGAGAAACTATTAGAAAGTCAAATTGACCTGCATTTACAGCTTCTTTCCGCAATGTATTTTTGGGTTGTTCTTAAAATCAGCTCCCCAAATAATTTGCCCCTAATGGACAAGAGGCTGATCGGAAGCAAATTTGGGGGAAATTTTGGGTCCTTGCCGGGTTACGTTGGAGTTTCGCTTCCTTCCAAGATGCGGAAAGTGACCAAGCCGAAGGCAGTGATTGAATAAATGTATTAAATTCACAAGAGGTCTCCTTGGAAGATGCCGGAGATGTCACTTTGTGACGCCATCTAAACCACAGGCCTTTCACAAATTCAATCATTGTATTTCCTTTGAGAGGTCACAGAGTCGGAAATTAACATGGGTGTCTTCATCGACGGTAGCCAGCAGGGCTTCGACTTGAGTCTCCACACCTTGTCTATGCTCACAGTAAGACAAGGCATTCACTCTGAACTGGTTTTCTAAGCAGTATTGGCTTTATCGATTGAATATTGGGCCTAAGGGACCATGAATTGCAGATGATGTTTTGGTCCACCCCTTTTTGTGAGGGATTTCGCAATAGGATATATTCCTTGAGGTATGACTTCGCAGTTTGCCAACTTTGTTTGCCACCATTCAAGTACTATTTTCCGGACCAGTCTCCCGATACTTCGGGTGACTCAGTTTACTGCCATTTTGCATTTGTATCCCAGTTCGAATACCCCCACCTTAGCCATGAGAATCGTAGGAGACGACGAAAAGCGACCCCAGGGCCTGAGAGCACAATTGGGCAAACCAGTTTCTTGGGAATATAAATACTGGGACCTGATCCTCAGGGTTGGGGGAGTCTCGAATCTGAGACAGTAAATATGGTCATGAGTTCCGAGGGATTCGGACCCAAGAATGACTGCCCTGGTGAGGGCCAGCAGCTGTTTTAAACGACAGACCCATCTTCTCGTCAGAGAGGACGCCCCACATCAACAAACCCGCAACTGTCTAACAGTAATAAAAATCTGGTTCTGGGCCCCAGGTGGGGGGATTGAGACCAAGACAAACTGGTCGACTCTACGTCGGTCCTAACATAACTTTGACTTTGATTTCGAAGCCAGCCAGTCGACAGTCAGTCGGACGTCCGCGTCGGCGATTGTCAGACAGTCTTGATTTGTTAGCGGCCGTTACCTAGTAGGGACTAGTGAGAACAGAATAAGGTATAGAAGACTGTAGTTCTAGCGATCTATAAGGTGCAAACAACGAGACTTGAAGTTACCTGCAGTTACGAGCTATAAGCGCCAAATAAACCCAATTATCAACCGAAATGTCGAGTCTAGTCACTAACACGTGATATTATAGAGCTATACCGTAGGAATAGAAATTGAAAGGGAGTGCCGGAAGTAGGCCGAAGAGGTAAACCTCTGGCCTCACAAAGTGTAAACCGTAACGGGTCTAAGGAAGTGCTCAGTATTCAATGGATGTTTCCAGCTATCTGGATGTTACCGAAGAACTCCGTCTATGGTGGCTGGCCTCGATCTGGTGAAATCGATATAATGGAGAGTAAAGGAAATGCCAACTACAAAGATGGGAACGGTGTGAACGTAGGAAACACATTGGCGGCTTCCACCCTGCACTGGGGTCCCGACGCAGATCATAACAACTACTGGAGAACACACTGGGAAAAGTGAGTTCTGGCACGAAGTGGAGTATACTCTAATTTTGCTTGATTCTAAGAAATAGCTACTCTTAATGAATAAACTCTTAAAAAAATGCTGTCATTTCCAGGAATATCCAAAACACTGGTAAGAGCTTCTCTGATGACTACCATTTGTTTGGACTGAAATGGACCGATAATCACATAATCTTCACTATTGATAATGAACAAATTGGAGATGTGTGGGCTCCACAGAATGGATTCTGGTACTATGGAGGGTTCCAAAACAATCCGGGTGGCACCAATATCTGGCAAAATGGGAACTGGATGGCACCATTTGACCAAGAGGTAAACTGTGCACTCTCTTGAAGACAGCAGTCTTCTGGGATTTGGTACCGTGTATATGTGGTGTTAACCGACGTTTCGGAGGAACGTATCGCCTCCATCTTCAGGGTAGAAGGGAAAATATAAGAAATTCGCAAGCGAAGAAACTGTGAGAACCAGTTTTCTTATATTTTTATATATATATCTTATATTTTTTATTTCTTATATTTTTCCTTCTACCCTGAAGATGAAGGCGATACGTTCCTCCGAAACGTCGGTTTTCACCACATATACACGCTGCCAAATCCCAGAATACTGCTTTTTTCATAGTCACCGCCGTGAAAGCCTCAAATCTTACATGTGCACTCTCTTATTGGCATGCCATTTTGAAGAGAACGCAAGTCTTGTGTTGGTTTCTCTGTCAGACCAATAGCTTTTGTGATTCGGGCTATCCTTGCACTACACTTTATTTAAATATTACATTAATAATTATTATAAAATTTAATAAATTTGTTTTATTTTTCACAGAACTAGCCAATTATATTTGGACGAAACCTGACCTCTCTTTCTCTCCTTTAAGTCACGTGTTACGGTCACATTCTCACTCTGTGGCTAGAAATTTCGATATGAATCCATGTTATTTGGTAACATTTTGCATAAATTTCCTCTCTGCCTAAAATATTGTAAGATTCAAGCTTCAATTTTACCTGGTGGCTAGCTAGGACATTATAGTTATATTACATGCCTTTGGCCAGGAATTTCCATTCGTGTTCGTGTTGCAGGATTTGAGGTTCTCACAGCGGTGGTTATGATGAGTACTGCCTTCTGCCATATAACGTCCGTTGACTTTCAACGGACTGCACGGCGGTATATCCCAGAAGGCAGTACTCTTATATTCATGTTATCTGGTACAATTTTGCACAGATTTCATCTTTGCCTTTACTACTGTAAGATTTAAGATTCAGTCTGTTAGGACTGGTGGCTGAGACAGTCACGTATTCAGAAATACTAATCGACCGAGTCTCCAATCTTATACGTGTATTTTCGCAGCATCTCTCGTGATGGATAGCAGAATCGCCCAGTGGATCTGTCATATAATACGTATCGAAGCACACCTTACAAAATAATCTATTGCTTGAAACTATATCACGGTATATAGCAGGACACAGGTTACAAATTCCATGAGGACACTTAGCAGTAGGACTATTTGCTGTGCAGAATATAGGATCTGACAGGATGATGGTGAAATCCTGTATTGGCCAACAACCACTCCTTAATTCCATACAGTATAATATGAATTGCCGGTCACGATAGCTGAGCGGTCTAAGGCATGCACTGTCTTCGCTCGCTCGGAAGCTGGGATCGTAGGTTCGAATCCCACTCATGGCATGGATATTTGTGTGCGTTTTTCTGTGTTTGTATATAGGTAGAGGTCTTGCGACGAGCTGATCACCCGCTCAAGGAGTCCTACCTTATGTGTAAGATCTAGTAAAACCGAAGTGAAACGGAGAGTTTCATGGAGGTAGGCCTAGGCCCAAATGAGGGCTGTAGCGCCAATGAACTATATATAATATGAATTACTTTAACAAATACGCTTAAGAAACAATAGTTTCCAGCTGTAATGCTGAAATACGGTAATGAAATAACTGACAACGAAGCGAACAATGACGCGGTTTAATAACTCTCATTTAGTATAGCTCTGAAATATTGAAAACTAATTTGCATAATAGTGATTATGCTAATAGATATAATTCAGGAAGTGTGATAATGTACTGACGAAATGAGGAAATGAAACAACTCTTAGCTATAAATTTAGTGACATTATTAACCTAGGTTTGAGCGATTTCTTGTGGTTTATATTACGATGATTTGAGCATCTGGATGACGCAGTGTCGACTGGTAGGATGACCAATAATGACGAATTGGAAAGGACAACTGAGAGACATCAGTCACTATTTAATTGAAATACTGTGTGGGATTTGAGCTTCTCACAGACTTATGTCTTCTGGTATATAATGGCATCAATATTTCAGAGTATCATGTCACCTCAATCTTCAGGAACGACGCATAGACCAAACAAGGAACCAGCGTGAAGCATGTAGCAATTAGATCTGTGCTTTCTGGTTTCTTACTTGGCTTACTCTTCAAACCCGAAGATGGAGGCGCCATGTTCCTCCGAAATATTGGCTTTCAAAGGATTATAAGGCTTCATATCCCAGAATACAGAACTGTTTTTAATCGATGTATTGTCCTCTCATTTGCATGGAAAGGACTGAGGGAGAACATTGAAGACCTGTCAAGATCACCGGTATCCTGGCGATACCGGGGCATATTCGTTAGTAAATATTAACGTATTAATATTCTATGTCATTAGAGACAAAACGACGCTCTGTACATGGATATTGTCTCTTCACAAAATTTTATAAAAATCTAGTATGCGTACATATTTTCCATAATTCTAACTGTGGAATAAAATTAACCTTTGATATTACAAGGTCCAGTTCCTCATTTTACAGTTTCAAATCATTTTGAACGTGGCCGTCGGTGGTAACTTCTTTCCTGAAGGGCTTGGCAACCGGCCCTGGAGCTGGGACGGTCATCCCATGAGAGATTTCTGGGAACGTCGCAGCGAATGGCTACCAACGTGGCACGAGGAAGAGGCAGCTATGAAAATTGATTACGTCCGCGTTTATCAGGAATAGAACACTCTACAGTCTAACGCAAAAAAGGCCTATAGGTTTATTGTTATAATAAGATACATTAACATTTCAAAATGGTTTAGGCCACTCAATGTGTCGCCAATCTTAAAAATGAAAAGTATAATAATACTGCAGTATTTCTAAATTAATTGTAAACTGGCCTACAAGAAGAAAACTATAATGTTATACATTCATGAAGATGAAATATTAAAAAAAAAATACTGTGATTAATAAATTTAAAACTCTACTTTATTTCAGCACCCTGAAGGCGTTATTACCCAGGCCCATAATTAAATCTACCCAGAAGAGAACAAAATCATTTCTGGTCGAGTGATCTCCCATTCCTACAAATTTTAGGTTCTCTTGAATTTGGTGCATGGTAAAACCATATTCAACCTCCTTTTTTTTACTAAATTAATTAACAAACGTATACGTAACATCACCACGGCGCCTCTAAAATGGCGTTTGCAATTATCTCATCTTTTTTCTAATTCAGGCCTCCGGCAGGAAGGGGCAAACTAGGCTTCCCCCAGCTCCCGAACAGAATTTGTGAGGCCGCCATGTTTTTATTTTACATTTTATAAAATAAGCTCTAATTTAAAAAGAAAGTTTACTGCATGCAAAGAGTCAGGATAGCTCAGTCTGTATACCGATAGGCTATAGTCCGCACGACCAAGGAATCGGGGTTCTGGAGCCAACTCAGCCTGCTACACAATGGGAACCGACTCTTGGCCCGGGGCGTGAAACTGACAACTCACTCCACCTATTGCTGAGGTCAAGAACTTTGACGCTATACCTCCATTCCTCGGCCATATTTATGGTATGGTGCTTAACTGCTAAATTAATATAGCAGAGGCACACTTTTACGTCTTTTTCTACATACAAAATTTCAGTAGCCTCTATACGTTAAGTGACTTTATTCTGCTCTCACCCTGACAGTTTGCACGGCGGGTATGTAAAAGTGCTAGCAGGCAGAGTGACTTCCGGTGACATGATGTTCATAGCAAATATAATTAAAATCCATCAGTTGATCCAAAGTTATTGAAAGGGGAGGGGGGAAATTTACAGCAACGGATGGTATATACCGACACACGAACTCGCGGATATCGTAAAGTCATTTTATTAGTTTCCTTATAGAATAAAAACATTAACCTAATAATTTTCATAACTTTGTTTTCATGAAATAACCGTATTTACATCGAAATCTTATAAGTTTATTTTGTATTGTGTGATATCCCATTCTATGTTTCCAGGAGACAATTTTAATTATATATTATCACATCAGGTATTAAGGGGCCCATACACGTACGAGTCTGGCTCGCGAGTCCGACTCGGTTCGGGTTCCAATGAGCCAAACTCGTCCGTGTGTGGGTGGCAAAGTTGGGAGTCAACTCATGCGTTTGTGGTGAAATTAATCCGAGCCCAGCTCCCGAGTCAAGCTCGCCGAATCGGACTCGCGAGCCAGACTCGTACGTGTATGGGGCCCTTTAGGCAGAAACCTGAAACCGCAGGTTGTGTAGTAAATTTGCTGCTTCTGGCACTATCGAATGCTTTGTGAACGAAATACGACCTTCAATCGCAGCTAATGTACCTCTTCTGCCGTCTGATGCCATCTATGATCAGTAAGACAAACTAAACGTAGCTTTTCATTTCACGTGCATTTCACCGTTGGAGACCCAGAACCTACTGGACATCGCTGTAAGTAGGAGATCATGAGAGGTAAGGAGGTCGTGCGTAAGGCTTGATTGTAGTGTGTGTAATGACATGGCAGATGGTGACTGTAAACCGATAGGCATATCGTAAAACAAGGCAAGCAACCTCTAGCGCTTCCTTCGCGCATTTAACTTACATACATCCACGGACTGTAACAAACATCTGTTGACTCGAATATCATGAAAAACTTAGAGGTAAGTATGTTATTCGAAGTAGTATTTTATTCTTTCACAATTTGAAGTACAGAATTCCTTTCTTACTTTGTATAGCAATTGCAGGAATATTTAAAGTTACCTTATTTCACAGCTAAACATACCAGCTGCAACTGAGTTTCACTCACCTTGAAGCAGACAGTGGTCTAACTTGGGGCTCGACAATTTACAGAGCTGAGTGATTAGATTCACGATCCAGTCGCCTTAACCGTACCCATTTGACAGGAGGCTGGATACTGTGTCAATGAGAGAAACCGTTTCCTTACCGTGAAGCGAACCCCAGTCATTCATCGCTTATTCAATTTATCGACTGAGAATCGGATAGTTTTTAGGACACAAGGACTACAACTAAGTTCTTGAGAAGCTAATAGTTGCTCACCTAGCAAATACATTCCCTGCCATTCATAGAACCTGAAAATTCATTACCCGTCCATTTCTACATGTCCTCTTGTAAGTGTGTGTGAAATAAGTTTCTTTGCAGATTTCGAATGTTTGGCTTAATCTCGGAAATATGTTAGACATGTACACCTAATCCGTTGGTTGTGATTGTCCTATTGCATGTAAAGGTAAGAAAAAAGTAAAGTTATCCCTGTAACAGGCTGTGGAGGCCCATAGGGTTGTGAGACGTCGAGGCTCCCACATTTTCTAGATAACTGGCTCACAGATGGCGGTGAGATTGTCAGCATTACGCGCTGGCCGCCCTTTACCCCCCTCACCCACCAGGAACATTCCTAGTACTAATTTGTGCTAGAGACTAAGTCGACCCCAGGACCACAGTGTGGCTAAAAGAATTAGTAAAGGTAAAGTTGTCCCTGGCCGGTCACGGTAGCCGAGCGGTCTAAGGCATGTACTGTCTTCGCTCGCTTAGAAACCGGGATCGTGAGTTCGAATCCCACTCAGGTCATAGATGTTTAGTTTGTGTGTTTGCGTTTTTCTGTGTTTGTATACAGGTAGAGGCCTTGCGACGAGCTGATCACCCGCCCAAGGAGTCCTACCGAATGTTTAAGATCTAGAAAAAAGTGAACGGAGAAGTTCATGGAGGTAGGCCTAGGCTCACTGGGGCTGTAGTGCCAAGGAAAAAAAAGTTGTCCCTGTGCTTAACTAATTAAGCACTACGCCATAAAGGCGTATGGGGGAGTGGATGTATAGTTCCACATTTTCTTGACTTCGACACTAGCTGGAGGTGAGTTTTCAGATTCACGCCCCGGCCGATTTACCCCCGGTACCAAATCGATAGGAGGTTGGGTGTGCCCCAGATCTGGTCTGTACCGGTCTGGAAGACGTAGAGAAGAGAAAATTCTTGACCCTGCCAGGACTCGAACTCCGACCCCTCGCTCGTCCAGCCCGTAGCTAGTCGCTATACAGACTACGGTATCCCGGCTCCAAGATGATCCAAGAAGGATTAGTTAATTTACAAAATTAATGATCTCGTCGATAATAGAATTTTTGTCTCAATATTATTATTTAAATAACTGCGTTTACGTGACTACAAAAGAGACATTCCTGTCACCGAGCACAATTCTCCGACGCAGGTAGCCCGCATGATTGCAGTGCATGACGCGCGCTGTGACGTCACACGAGTCGTGAGAATGGTAAATGGGGCTTGCGCACTAGTACCATGCCTCGAGCTTCTTGCAACGATGGATAGGCCTAAAAAGTGCATGACTGAGGGATCGTGCTGACAAGAGGGTTTTGACTCTGATTTCCCCCCTTAAAATTAACATTAGTAGTTTCCCTCACTATGAAGAACAGTGTACACATACACAAAATGGGGGAGATTACAATACTGCTGGTCCTTCTGTTTTGTGAACACAGACAAAATGCGATTACGTTTGCAGTCTGAATTAAGTGAGTAGGCAGGTCCGGTGGGTTCATCAATTGTCGCCGGACAAAATATAGGCTTATCATACTTAGAAATAATAAAAGGAACTCCATGGTTTTAGTCCGCAAGCGAACTATACCGACCGAGCGACCGCCTCTTGTCGGCGAAGTTAGTGCCAACTTTAGCGGATAAAGAGTGTCGCGTGGTCAGCGCAACGAATCCCCAGGGCCGTTAATTTCGATTTTCTAGACCGGAGCCGCTATTTGAAATAGCTCCTCAATTATCATCATAAGGTTTAGCGGCCTCCGTAGTCTGGGGGTAACGTTCTCATCTCATGACTCAAGGTACGCAGTTTCAAACCAGGCGGAGGTGACGGCGTGAAATTTTTAAGGGCGGAGAAATTCAGGGAACAAGTCCTCCGGAGGGACTCCAAGCCGTGTGTCCCGTGTCGTAGATTTACGGCACGTAAAAGATCCTCATGTCTCTAGGAGACCTCTGAGCGAAATTAGGAAACGTTTCCCGCCCAAGTAGTTTCCAGTTCCTCCGGTAGATGGGGTACCACTGCCAGAGAGGGCCGGCCTCGCTGGCAGAACGGGGCTGATAGGGAGCACCAGTACTGGAAGGGCATGGCGACTAGTAGAATAATTATACGGGGACGCACGATACATCAACAACTGGTCGCGGTGCATGGGGAAACCCATTCCCTCCAAAAAAAATAATAATAATAATAATCATAAGGCTGAGTGGACCCCGTTCCAGACCCACTACTTCTCAGAAAAAATGTGGTATCGCCGGGAATCGAACCCAGACCTCTGTATCTGCAGCCAGGAATTCTGACCACTAGACCACAGAGGCGGTCATGCTTAGAAATACCATCGAAATTTCTTTCGTGAATGAAAATTTGAGGCTTACTGTTGTAATTAAAGAGCAGTTCCATCTGCCTCCGTTCAAATGCACCCACAGCTGAGTAGCAGAACTCATAGGTTCAGCAACGTCAAAACCAAAGGCGGTCTTTGGACGTGATCTTGAACTAGTTAAACCCACATCCCACCCTCCTGCCATCTGCTTCCCGATCTTTGAGAAGGACGTTTCATAATTTTCCCACATATATCCTCTCTCCACATGTCCTACCCGTCACTGTCTCCTCTGCTCTCAGATTTGCCAGATACGGCTGTGTATGGACACCTTTGCGTTCCTCCAAATTCAAATCTCCGTTATGGGTATAAGCATACTTCATGTTTCAGTCACTTCACATAATTACAGGCGAGTGTAAGAATTCTTTCAGCCGATCTGTGCTGTAACGTGTTCTCGCTGTTTATAACTGGTTCTGTTCCTTCCACATGGGCTCAGGCAGACTTTGCTTCGGCACATGACCTCGTATAGCTCTCATTCTGTTTCGCCTGATGACCTTTCACTCCTCCAGGACCTAATAGTAGTGTGTTATATTGAAATAGAGAGCATATTTCAAAGTC